CACAAAAAGCAAAAGAGCCTGAGAGAGCTAGAGGCCCTGAATTCAAGTCCCAGAATCATCCCTCAAAAAAAAAAAAAGTAAATATACTCAGGAGGATGAGATCTGAGGATTGCAGTTCAAAGCCAGCAGGGGCAGGAAGAGCTAGCCAGGGCAGGAAGGGCCGTGAGATTCTCATCTCCAATTAATCACCAGAAAACTAGAAGTAGAACTGTGGCTCAAAATGGGAGAGTGCTAGCCTTGAGCAAAAAGTTCAGACAGTACCAGGCCCTGAGTGCAAGCCTTACAACTACTAAAAAAAAAAAAAAGTGAAATAAGCCGGGCGCTGGTAGCTCACGCCTGTAATCCTAACTACTCAGGAGGCCACGATCTGAGCATCATGGTTCAAAGCCAGCCCGGGCAGGAAAGTCCACATGAGACTCTTATCTCCAATAAACCACTAGAAAAATAGAAGTGGCTCTGTGGCTCAAGTGGAAGCAGGGACAGCACCCAGGCCCCGAAATGAAAGCTGTGGTTAACAATGTGTCCATATTGGTTGGTTAGTTGCAACATATGTGTCAGGTTAAGGAAACCTATAAACAAAGGAGTTGAGTGGATAGCTGGAACTCTTCCTGCTTGCTGAGAAGTTCTCTAGTTCTAAAACTACTAAAAATAAAATCTATTAGGTCCGTGTGTGTGTGTGTGTGTGTGTGTGTGTGTGTGTCCATCATGGGGCTTGAACTCTGGGCCTGGGCGCTGTCCCTCAGCTCTTCAGCTCAAGGCTAGCGCTCTACCACTTGAGTCACAGCGCCACTTCTCGCTTTTTCTGCTTATGTGGTGCTGAGGAATCTAACCTAGGGCCTCATGCATGCGAGGCAAGCACTCTGAGCCGCCTCCTCAGCCCCTCCATGAGGTTCTTGTGCTTTATTTTGTTTGTTTGTTTGTTGCTCAAGCCTAATACTCTACCACTTGAGCCACGGCCCCACTTCCTGCTTTCTGGTAATTTATTGGAGATAAGAATCTTCTGGGCGGGGCTGGGAAGGTGGCTCAGTGGTAGAGCGCTTGCCTTGCATGCTCGAGGCCCTGGGTTCGATTCCTCAGCACCACATAAGCAAAAAGAAAAAAGCTGGAAGTGGTGCTGTGGCTCAAGTGGTAGAGGTCTAGTCTTGAGCTGAAGAGCTGAGGGACAGCGCCCAGGCCCAGAGTTCAGGCCCCACGACCGGACCCAAAAAAAAAAAAAAAAGAATCTTCTGGGCTTTCCTGCCTAGGCTGGCTCTGATCCTCAGATCTCAGCCTCCTGATTAGCTAGGATAACAGGTGTGAGCCACCGGTGTCCTCCTTACTAGTTTGTTTGGCTTGGTTTTTGTTTTAAACCCCGTTGATAATTTGCTGAGCTGGACTGAGAATCCATTTGAGGATTTTTCAGACACAACATATGGAATTTTCAGTACCTCAGCTATTTCCTGTCTATGGAGAGGAACAACTGGGCTTTGGTGCTGTGCCAAGCCTTGCATACCATTTCAGAATGTCACATCCCCACCCCTAAGCCTGTGGCTTGTGGCCACTCCCAGCACATGCCGGGATTGTGTGTGCACCTGCCAGCTGTGCAGATCAAGCATCCGGGGCTTCCACATGTCTGTCCACGCACAAACTTGTTTCTGTGTATGACTCATTCCTAAATGCTTTCCCTCTATTTACTTTCTAGGATACATTTAGGGTATTGCATTGACATGAAATTATTTTCATGTACAGGCTTTGCAATAGCAGGAGTAGAGATTAAGTATTTATTACAAGGATGATTGAATGACAAAGATGGTTGAGCTGAGAAATGCTCCTTTGACATGAAATCCAATCCCTCGTGCAGCCTCAGGACATGACCAGACCTGCTAGGGGAGAGGCTCTGCCCCGGCCAGCCAAAGGGAACTGTTAGCATGTCCCAGAATTTGTCAGCACTCTTCTGTTCCCCAAGCCTGGTACAGGCTGTTCTCTCTGAAATGCTTCATCCTCTTTCTTTTTTGGAGCTACTAGAGTTTCAAGAGCTTGCAGAGCAGGTGCTCCATTGCTGAGCCACACCCCAGCCTACCCCATTCAAAAGAGCTGCTCCCTCAACCTCCACTTCCTGCCTTCAGATCAGCTTCCACTTCTGGCCTTCATGATCTTTGTCAGAGCTACAGATACACCTGCTTTCTGATTATTGTTCTTTCTCTTTCTCTCTTTTTTCTTTCTTTCTCTCTTCCTCTTTCTTTTTTTTTTTTTGGGGGGGGGTCCAGTTGTGGGGCCTGAATTCTGGGCCTGGGCACTGTCCCTCAGCTCTTCAGCTCAAGGCTAACGCTCTACCACTTGAGCCACAGCACCACTTCCAGCTTTTTTCTTTTTGCTTATGTGGTGCTGAGGAATCGAACCCAGGGCCTCATGCATACAAGGCAAGTGCTCTACCACTGAGCCACCTTCCCAGCCCCATCTCTCCCTCTTTCTTTCTTTCTCTCTCTCTCTCTCCCTCCCTCCCTCTCTCTTTCTCTCTCTCTTTATTTTTAAAACATGCCAACAGGAGCCAGGTACCAGTGGCTCACATCTGTAATCCTAGCTACTCAGGAGGCTGAGATCTGAGGATGGCAGTTCAAAGACAGCCCAGACAGGAACATCAGTGAGACTCTTAGCTCCAATTAACAACCAGAAAATCAGAAGTGGTGCTGTGGCTCAAGTGGTAGAGCATTAGCCTTGAGCTGAAGAGCTTAGGTACAGTGCCCAGGCCCAGAGTTCAAGATCTACAACCACCAACAACAACAAAAAAGCCAACATGGGGGCTTGAACTCATGCTCCTACACTCTTGCTGAGTTTTTTCTGTTTAGGCCCAGCACTCATTTCCAGTTAATTGGAGATAAAAAGTCTCCCAAATTTGTCCCAGCACTGGTGGTACACATTTGTAATCCTAGCTCCTCGGGAGGCTGAGATCTGATTATCAAATTTCAAAGCCAATCCTGGCAGGAAAGTCGATGAGACTCTTATCTCCAATTAACCACCAAAAAGTCAAAAGTGGAGATGTGGTTCAAGTGGCAGAGTGCTAGCCTCGAACACAAAAGCTCAGGGACAGTGCTCAGGCCCTGAGTTTAAAGCCCCAAAACTGGCACAAACAAAAACAAAAAAACTGGAGACCATTTTTTTTTTTTTTTTGGTCGGTTGTGGGGCCTAAACCCTGGGTCTGGGCGCTGTCCCTCAGCTCTTCCGCTCAAGGCTAGAGCTCTACCACTTGAGCCATAGCACCACTTCCAGCTTTTTCTGCTTCTGTGGTGCTGAAGAATCGAGCCCAGGGCCTCAGGCATGCGATGCCAGCACTCTATCACTGAGCCACCTTCGCAGCCCCTGGAGACCATACTTGAAAAATAAGCAAATCAAAAAGGACTCAGATGGTAGAGAGTATGTGAGCAAGAATTTCTGAATTCAAGGCCTACTACTGCCTAAATAAATGGAAAATGAAAGTTACTTATACTTACGTCAAACTGTTTGCTGTATAAAAACCATGTTAATCTCCAATTAATACTTTTTCCTTTGATATATTCCAAAGCATGAAGGCCAAGTGACAACAAGAATGACTGTCTTTCAGGCAGTCACTCATGGCTGTGATCATGCCTACTCAGGTGGCTGAGATCTGAGGATTACAGTTTGAAGGGTCAGGAAAGCCCTTAACATTCTTATCTTCAGTTAACCTGCAAAAAGCTGGAAGTAGAGCTGTGAGTCAAGTGGTAGAACGCCAGCCTTGAATGGACCAGTTAAGGGATGGCCTTAGGCCCAGAGTTCAAGCATCATTACTTTTGCAAAAACAAAAAACACACACAAAAAAACAAAAACCCTTCTTCTTTGGGTGAAACAATGCTGAAGCATGCTCCCATGCTCACTAAGGTCACCCACAATTAGCACACTCCATTTGTCACCAAGCACGTATAAACCATCTGCCATGGACCAGGAAGGATGCTAGATATTGGCAATGAATCACAGACCTGCAGGAGCAGTTAGCCCCGCATAGCCACAATCAGCTGGAGGGGGAAAAAGCAATGAATGAATCTGGAAATAGCTGTAAAATGCCATCACTTACGAAAATCATTTGTGGTTTTGAGCCTCTCCCTTCTTCAGCATCCAGGAGAACCGGTCCCATTGGTAAATTATGCAATTGAGCAAAATAATTTAAAAACTGCAATAGGTGTGTGTGTGTGTGTGTGTGTTGGTTCTGTCCCTGAGGTGTGTGTGTGTGTGTGTGTGTGTGTGTGTGTGTGTGTGTGTGCCAAAGCCGAGGCTTGAACTGAGGGCCTCAGGGCCTTGCTTGGCTTTTTCACTCAAGCCACAGCTTCATTTATGGCTTTTGGTGATTAGTTGGAAAATAACGTGTCTCTCAGATTTATCTGCATAGGCTGGCTTCGAACCACGATCCACAGATCTCAGTCTCCTGACTAGCCAGGGTTTTACAGACTTGCCATCAGCCAAGTTGTTTTTCCCAGAGAGTGGGAGGTGGGTCAGTAGATTAAATGTAGGGAAGATAACCGTTTCCAAGCCCACAAGCTGTGGCCGGGGAGGGGGCCTGGCCTCCATCCCCTCGGCCCCCCTACCCAGGGCTGGGCGCTGGCCCGGGGTTCCTGGGGGGGGCGGGGCGGGGGCTCACAGCCTGAACCAGCACGTGGCCCTGGCCTGGGCCTCCTGGGACCCAGCACGGAGAAGCCCGACCAGATCTCAGGCGACAGAGGGCGACACCGGCTCCTGGCGCGCAGCTCCGGCCTCCTTAGCGGCTCCCACGGGGCGAGCCCCCGCCCCCCCCCCCGCCCCCCCCCGCCTCCGACCTCACCGGGCGCCGGGGCGCGCAGAGCAGACCCGGGGAGGGGGGCAGCAGCCGGTGCGGGGCCGCCGGCGGGAGTGGAGGCCCGAGGGGGGGCCTAATCCCTCCCTCCCCCGTGTCCCCTTCCTCTCCCTCCCTCGGTTCTTCCTCCTCCACTGCCCTCCCCCCCACTTCCTCCGCTGCGCCCCGGGACGGAGAGGGCAGCGGGCACGGAGATGGCGGCGGTGGCTCCCCGGCCAGCGCCCCCGGCCCGCGTGTGGCGGCGGCCGGCAGATCGCGGGGTGCGGAGGCCGTGAGGCCGCGCGCGCGCGGGGGGAGCCCGCCGGTGGGGGCAGTGAGGGGCGCGGCGGGCGCCGTCCCCGCCCCGGGGCGGAGCCCGGGCCGGAGGCTGCGGTGGGCGCCGTCCACCGGGACCGCGAAGCTCGCGGAGCCCGCCGCGCCGCGTCCTCCCTGCGCCCCCGCCCCGCCGCGGACCCCGAGGACCCCGGGACGCGGAGCCCCCCACCCCAGCTCGGAGCTCCCGACGCGGAGCCCCCGGCCCGGAGCGCGCGGCGGCCATGGCGCGCGGAGGCGCCCCGCAGGACCGGTGAGTGGGGGCCCCGCGCGCCCCGCGCCCGGGCGCCCCGCGGACTACAGCTCCCGTCGGCCCGTGCCCTCGCTGGTTGTGGTTCTCGGGGCGGGGGGGGCGGGGAGGGAGGACCAGGAAGGCGGGAGGCCCTGGCATGCGTCCTCGGGGTGACCTTCAACCGGTCCCCACAGCTACCACCTGGTCGGGACCAGCTTCTTCATCCTGGGGCTGGGCACCCTGCTGCCCTGGAACTTCTTCATCACTGCCATCCCGGTGAGACCCCGCGCCCAGCCGCCCCCCACCCGCTGGGCGCAGCCCTGGCACCGAGGCTCCACACGCGCCGCCCCGGACTCAGTTTACCCATCTGCAGGCTGAAGCCTGGGGCTCCAAAGGGGGAGGGGGGGAAAGGTCGCTCCCAGGACCAAGAAATACCCAGGTCCCAGGGGTCCAGGGGTCTGTCCCAGAGGGGTTTGTGACTCACCCAGATCCTCGGCTTGTCAGGGTTTCTGGGCCAGCCAGCCCAAAAGTGCATTTCCCAAAAGCTTTGGTTGCCTTTGCGAGTGTGTGGATGACACTCATCCCCCAAACGTGTGTGTGTGTGTGTGTGTGTTGCTAGTCCTGGTGCCTCGGGGCCTGGGCGCTGTTCCTGGGCTTTTGTGCTCAAGACTGGAGGTCTATCACTTGAGCCACAGCTCTTTTTGGCGCTTCATTGGAGATGAGTCTCAAGGACTTTCCTGCCTGGCTGGCTTCAGACCTTGATCCTCCGATCTCAGCCTCCTGAGTAGCTAGGATTACAATCATGAGCCACCACCTGCGCCTGGCAGCATATCTAATATGCAGTTACTCTGGCCCAGGCACAGGGAGTATAGAGGAATCTAAGCAGAGGGAGGTTCATTCTGCCCAGAGCATTCATTCTCTAAGGCAAAGCAGAAATGTAGAGCTTGGGTTCTCTCTGGAACTGGTTGTGAAGTGGAAATCAGCCTCCAGACTTGAGAAAAAAGATCGGGCCAGAGCTATTAATAGTGTAACTTGACTCGGGCATTTCAGGCTTAGAGTCCAGTGCAGTGGATTCCCAGCAGAAGGAAAACATTTCTTCTGCTTGAGAAGAGTAGGATAGGTAAAGTAAGGAAGAGAGGCCCGAGGAACAGGAAATTCTCTACTGGAGGAAGGAAGGGCCTGCCTGTTCTGGATTGGGGGAGGGGGGGGAGGGTCTAGAATCTGAAGTCCCTGGGGCTTAACAGGCTGGAACAGGAAACCAGGCACAAAAGGGAGGCTGGAATCTGATTTTTGGCTCTCAGCCTCTTCTGCCTGCAAGGCAGACACACTAGCATTGGAGCATACCTCTCGCTCTATGACACTGGGCCAGAAATGCCCGAGGCTCTGTCTGCAGGGAAGAGAAATCTGGGTAGAAGGTGAAAGGAGACTAAGCAGAAGTTGGCAGGATATGTGCTCCTGAGATGTGTGGCAACGGCAGCCAGACCCTGGCTTACAGTAGGTGCTCAATAAATACCCATGGTAAGCTGGGAGCCAGTGGCTCATGCTTGTAGTCCTAGTTAGTCACCAGGCTAAGATCTGAGAGTCAGGGTTCAACGCCAGTTCTGGAAGGAAAGTCCAAGAGACTCTTATCTCCAATTCACCAGCCCCCCCCCAAAAAAAATAAAAAATGGAATGGCTGAACCTAGAGACTGCTGTCTGTTGGTGTAGGGGTGGGGCTGGAACAGGGTGCTAAAGAGATGAAGTGGCCCCGAGATTTCTTTCTATCTCGGACTCTTGCTGTTCAATTCCACGCACATCCATGGAGCTGGGTGCCAGGTGCTGGGACAGGACAAGGACAAGGCTGATAATTCCCATGGACATTAGCCAGACAGTCACAATGCAAGGACAGGCAGAGAGGAGGAAGGCTGGGGGACTAGCGGTTCTGACCCTATTCCACCTCCCCCATCGGGCAGTACTTCCAGGAACGCCTGGCAGGGGTCAACAACACAGCTGGCAACCTGAGCACCAACCACACAGGCCCCACCGACACCTACAACTTCAACAACTGGCTGACACTGCTGTCCCAGCTGCCCCTACTGCTCTTCACCCTCCTCAACTCCTTCCTGTATCAGTGGTAAGACTCTACCCCCACCCCTGGGCCTCTCAGCCTTCTTGCCAGGCAGCAGCATGTAAGCCCAGGAAAAGCCTCCAACTTCCCCCTACGTAACCCCTAACCCCACTGCCCTGCTCCTGGCTTACCTGGGGGGGGGGGGAGGTCTGTCTGATGTCCTCTTCCAACCCTTCTGAGCAGCATCCCTGAGTCTGTGCGCATCCTGGGCAGCCTGCTGGCCATCCTCTTCCTCTTTGCTCTGACAGCAGTATTGGTCAAGGTGGATATGAGCCCCGGGCCCTTCTTTTCCATCACTATGGCCTCCGTCTGGTTCATCAACTGTGAGCACTTCCCTGCCCTTCTCTCCTAAGTTTCTTGTTTGTGATAGAAAAAGGCCCTACAGATCCAAGAAGGGAAGCCAACACTCTCAGGCGGAGAGGGAGAGCAGAAGCCCCTCATCCCAGCCCCACAGCGGCCTAGGAGCAGGCCTCCAGGTCACTGGCCCCACAGATTGATGGCTATACTTGAGAAGAAGTGGGGATGAATGGGCACTAGAGTCCTCAGGAACGCCCACACCAGTCCAGAGTCCCTTCTACACCCCAGTGATGCCTCTGGGGGGAGCCCCAGAGGAGGCGGGTGGCTGGGTGGCTCCATCCCTGTCTCTCCACAGCTTTCTGTGCAGTGCTACAAGGCAGCCTCTTCGGGCAGCTGGGCACCATGCCGTCTACCTACAGCACCCTGTTCCTCAGTGGCCAAGGCCTCGCTGGGATCTTCGCAGCACTCGCCATGCTCATGTCCATGGCTAGTGAGTACACCGGCCTGGGGAGGTGGGGGGACAGACTCCAGGCTTGGGGGTGACAGGATGCATAGGAGGAAGATGGTGGGGTTCTAGATGGAGACAGGGGGATGGGGAGCAGACTCTGGTTCATACCAATGAGCTAGCTGATGAGGCTGGCTGAACTTGGGGCCTGGGGCAAGATTCCTGGGTTTGTGCATGTGGGCAGAAGCTGAGGATCAGTTAGGGATTCACTTGAACTTGAATCTGTTTCACTAATCACAAGCCCAGAGGCATTGGCCAGAGCATCTGGACTTCTTGTGCAATGGTTAACTTGTATGTGATGTAGCTGTCTGTGCTCAGCCCACGGTAAGAGGACACACAACAAAAATGGTGTGTAGGGAAAAATGAAAGGAATGAAGGTCTGATCTGTATAAGATTCCTGAGCCCAAATCTGGTAGCCCTGCTGTAATCCTAACTACTCAGGAGGCTTGAGTTCTGAGGATCAAAGTCTAGAACCAGCCTGGGCAGGAAAAGTCCAGAAGACGTATCTCCAGTTAACCAGCAAAAAGCTGGAAGTGTGGTTCACACAGGTAGAGCATCGGCCTTGAGCAGAAAAGCTAAGCAAGGCCTTGAGCAGAAAAGCTAAGCAAGAACTCAAGGCCCTGAGTTCAAACCCTAGAAATGGCACCCCCCCCCAAGAAAAGAGGGTGCTGGGCCTGGCCCTGAGAAGCGCGCATGCTGTAAGAGGTGTAACCTGAGTTGGTGGTCCTGAGGGAGCTATGAAACCAGCTACTGCACCTCTAACGCGGAATTTTCTGCCACAGGCGGGGTAGATGCCCAGACTTCTGCCCTCGGCTACTTCATTACACCCTGTGTGGGCATCTTCATATCAATCGTTTGCTACCTGAGCCTGCCCCACCTGGTAAGCCTGCGATTGGACCCTGTGTCCCACTTCCTTAAATCTGAGGTTCTTAAGAGGGGGGAGGGGAGACACATGTGCTTGGCCCTGATTTCCCAAAGAGGCCAAGAGGCCACCTACCTCCCTTCTCTATCGTGCAGGAGTTTGCCCGCTACTATCTGGCTAAGAAGCCATCACAGACCCCCGTTCAGGAGTTAGAGACCAAAGCTGAGCTCCTCCAGGCTGGTAAGATCCCAGGTCTGAAGAGGGGAGGTGAGAAATAAAGAAAAGGCTTCAGCCAGCTCCCCTGGGAACCATTTCCTTCTGTCCCCATCTTGGGCCCCATTCCTTGGAGCCTTGCATTTGCAGAGGCAGAAGATCATCGTGGGATTCAAGTCATTTCTGTTGGTTTGCTTGAGGGCAAGTATTGAGATAGGGTCTTTGCTTTATGTAGCCTACAGGAACTGAGAACTTGCTATCCTCCCACCTTAGCCTCCTGCCCCGAAGTGCTGGGATTACAGGCATATACCACCACACTTGGCTTTAAGTCAATCCTGCTGCTCTTTGGGTCTCAGTTACCTCCTCTTTCAAAGGGAGAAGCCAGTAGACCTTCATACATGCCAGGCCTGGATCTAAATACATTTGAATTTGAATCCTAGCTTCACAAGCTTTGTGGCCTTGGGCAAGTTATTTAACCCTCTAGCCCCAGTTCCTCCATTTGTAAAGCCATGGCAATGAGAGAACCCAGCCAAATTACTGGCAGATACATGTTCTTAATAAACAGATGCTGGGTGCCAGTGGCTCACACCTGTGATCCTGGCTACTCAGGAGGCTGAGTTCAAAGCCAGTCTGGGCAGCAAAGTCAGTGGGACTCTAATCTCCAATAAACTACTCAGAAAAAGCTGGAA